CTTCTTTGCTTTACCAGATTTTCATTCTTACTCTTTTGGGTGAGGTCAAGCTATGAACTTCGTTTCTTCTTTTGTATGTGTTTTTAACAGCGCTATGGAGTAAATTGGTTGTTTATATATATGATTTTGGGCAACAGAATTGGTGGCACAGATGGGAGTAGAGTTACGATAGCAAATAGCGATGATTTAAAAGCCGTCTCGCATGGGATGCCGTATGTTGTTTTTAGGCTGTTTATTTTGTATTGGGAGATGGTCTGTGTGAGAGTGTAGCAGCAGGTGGTGAGTATTTTACGTTTGCGCAGCCACGCACAGCATCCTTGTTTTTTTCCTTTTTTTCGCACATCGTTAACCGAATTTTTTTTTTTTTTTCGTTGAAAACCTTGCCACGTTTCAGCCTCAGAATTTATCTTTATGTTTCTATTCATTTGTTGCGTTTGCGTTTCTTTCTGTTTTAGGGGTTTTTTTTGGTTTATTTGAATTTCTATCCGAAAAGCGATGGTTCGCCTTTACGCAAGTTGTTCTGAGATAAGCATCAATACTTAGTTGCTTTTATTTTCATCGTAACTTTCGTTCAACAGTTGTGATAACTCGGTTAGTGAATCCTAGAATGCTTTTTTTCACCCGATTTTCTCCTTGGGTTTGTTAAAATTACAAATTTGTTTTCGAAGTATTAGAAGTTACTTTTGTTCCATACAACTAGTTCTACTTGTATTGCAAAAACTGGATAAATTATGAAATCAATACAGCTAGGATATGAGTGTTTTTATTTAGCGCTTTACTAATTTCTTTTCTTTTTTCTAAAAGAAAAATACCTCAGAAACGACGATTTTAGTTTCTTTTTATAGTAGAGTGTTTACCTTGTTTCAAAGTTCATTTAGATCAAGTGAGGGCGGTATTTTTTTCATTTTTTATGCAGGACTCGTCATAATTTCTGTCCGTGGTGGAAGGGATCCTGTGTTTGTGCCTGCGGTGGAAAATGGTTGTTGCGACTTACAAAGATTTAATAGTCCAGAAGTTTTTGTGTAGACTGGTTTTTAATTGCCTCGGCTGCGCTGATGGGTCCTTTTCTGATCACCGCCGAAATATCTTGGCCATTTTTTTCTTTTTTTATTGTTCTGGTAAATAACTACTACGGTAAATAGTGACTTTGTTTTGTACTTTCTGTTCACATCTATTCGAGCCCATGGGAGATTATAATTCCGAACTAGGGCTGTCGCAGTTTTTGGTTGCTGTGACGCTAGGCCAAATATGTGGTGTGTAGTATGGCACAGTTGGAAATTTTAAAGTTATGATTTCTTTCTCTTTTTGACTGGTTGTTTTTTTGTGTATCCATTTCGTGTTTTGTTAGTTCGTTGTTTTCACCACGCTTGAACAGATTATAAAACTGTGAAAAAAGCTTCACACTTATTGCCGATTTATAGGTCTCCAGAGTTTATAGTGTTGGAAGTTGTGCGTTTCTCACCTCGCTTGTTTCTCTGTAAAACCATTTTTGGTGACATTTTGTTAGTTTCCTTTAGTTCTTTAAACCAGGATTTTTTTGAGTGCTTTATGTACTGATGTATTCAGTACAAGTGCAAGTTTATTTAGTACACGGTGATAATGCTGAGATCTTTTACTTGTAAGCAATTCAGCAGCTTGCGAGATTAGTTGTCGGAACATTTGTTTCCCTATCAGTTTTAAGATGAAGTGGGGTTTGAAGGGGTTTAATTTTTTATAGCGAGAGTTTCTGATGTGGGTCTCTGTTGCGGAGTTTCTACGGAGTTTCTAATTTATAGAACTGTTTAGGGGAGTACGGGGTAGAAGTGGTGATGTTTATTTTGATCTCTGTGCTTTTAAACATTGGGGACGGGGACAGCAGATCGGCACAGAGTAGTATGAATTAAAGTCAGGATTTAGTGTTTTCAGTGTTTAGTTTCAATTTTGATTCAAATTTTAAGTGTGAAGTACAAAGAAGTTAAATCATTTATGATACGAATTACTCAGCCAATGTGTATTGTTTTTGGAATAACCGAATTTATGCAGTAAATGTGTTCGAACTTATCCTACAAATATTTCTTTGATGTTTTGCAGTTTTGCGAGGCTGAATTCTTGGGATTTGGAGGGTGTCTCTTTTACATAGCATTTGCAGAGCTGTTATGTACGGATGTGATTGTGGATTATTTATGGGAGCGTTTTATCTGGACTTTTCATGAGAAATTACCTTTGCCACTTGGTAGACCGGTGTTATTCTTGGCGGTATTGTCTACTTTTTGCCGTAAAATATTCGTTTTCTGGCCACCGTTCGTAATTCTAGTTAAATGCTTGTTATAAGTCTGTGTTTCGTTCGGGATTTTAATTTCATTGGGGACAGAGAGCGGAACAGAGCGGTGTGATGTGAAGGTTTGATCGGCAGATTGGTACAGAGCATATATTGAACTAAAATGCGTAGTCTGTATTTATTTTTATTTGTCGCTGTTTTTATGAAGTGGTGTTCGCTGTGAGAAGCTTCTTACTTAGAGCGTCACTTTCTTGAAATGAAGAGGGCAGTTTGAGAAGTTTTAGCAAAAAGGATCTAACGTGTAGCGGAGATGTAGAGACGGTTTAATGTTTATTCTGCGATGAAGCAGGCATAAAATTGCATTTATTTGCATAAAGGCTGATAGAGGAAAGAGTGGGGTTGAATTTTAAAAGAGGTCACATATAGTAAGAGGGGGAAGGGGTGGAGCAGGAGAAGAATGATGGCGATGGTGGTAGTGATGATGAGGAAGGGGAGGAAGAGAAGAGAAGGGGAGAAGAGGAAGAGGTTTTTGTTTTCTTTGTGCGTTTGGACATCGTCAATAGGCCAAGCGTCATTATTGTGCCTACTGTTGGTCGTTGTGTTACCGATTTTGCAGACGTATCCAGTTTGGCGTTAGTTTTTATCGTGTAATAATATCGTTGTATTTCTTCTCCTATTTCTAAAGAAGTCGTTTAGGGGGTTGCTTTTTTTTTTCTATTTCCTTCGATTCTGGGCGGTGTTTCGTGTGGAAATTGGGCAGATGCAGAACCTTATTTTTAGTTTTTTTTTTTTATTTTTTATTTTTTACAAGAATCCCAGTGGTTTTTTTCTATTGTTCTTTCTTCTTTTACACTTTTTTGTTGGTTATCAGGTGAAATCGGGTTTATTTGTCTCTTTAATTCGAATTGGTTGGTTGTCTGCATAGGGTGAAAAAAGTTTTTTTTTTTTTTGTTTCTTCATTGATTTTGATACAGCGGTACAAATGTACCCTGGCTCGGGATGACACGAGTTTAAGGAGCAAAGTGTGTGTATCTGTGTGTGTTGATTTACATTCTTTTTTCTTTTTCTTTTTCTAGCCAGTTGTTAGGGTTAATTCTTCGTTTCTGGTATTATGAGGTCTGCTGGTTAGAAAGTTAGAAATGTTGATAATTTTCTTCTTTTCTTTGGTGTTTGATCTCCTTTTTTGATTTTTTCTGCAGTTGCAGTTGTGTGCTTCTTGTAGTAGTTGTAATATTGAGGTTTTTTCAAATAAAAGAAGCAAGTTCCCATGAGTGTTTTTTGTTGTTTTATTGCGTCTTGCACTGCTTGAAAACTTATTGGAAGTCCTACAGAATCATTGGTTTTTTTTTTCTTTCTCATATCTTAATTTCTGGTTATGCCGCAGTCATTTGTCGTTACGGTATTTACTTCCTGTAATTCAATGACGAGTAGTTCAGGCTGGGTGCGAAATTAAACTTCTCGGTTAATTTGTTTTTTTAATTTCATCATTTAATACTGGCTTATAGGTCCTGCCATACTTTATTGTATAGTTTTGCAAAACGCAAGGAAGCAGTTTCTACGGTTACTGCTTATAATTCGTTGAAAAAAGTTTATTCGCATTATGTGGTAGGCAAGGGAATTAAGGTTTTTTCATTACATATTTTTCTTAGCGTTCCTAGCAGTACGGAATAGCGGTAGACTGCGTTCATTTATTTTAGCATTAGTTGGTCTTTTTTTTTTACACTTAACAAATTTATTTTGGAAATATTTTATTTTGTAGTCATTCAGATGAATTGTTGGTCATTAGATTTTTGTTTCTGTTGCTCTAATTGTATTTTGCGACTGCTTGATGTCAGTCTTGCAGTTTTTTCTTGCTTTTTATTTACATCCTTGCTGTAATTTTATTGTCTTCCTTCTCTGTTCACGGCATTTGTTTTTCTGGCCTAATCTTTTTTGTGCGAATCAGTTTTTCTAGTGGTTTATTGTTGTTAATACAGATCGTAGGTTTAGTACCATGGTTTTTGGTGTGAAGGGAAGTGGCGGAGAAGTGTAGAATCTGTTCCTGTATGTTTTTGTGGCACGGACATCCAAATTTCTAGCCATTTTTTTCGCAGAGTACTTAAGAAGTTAGAGTTATAGTTTTTCAATTTATTTTCCTTCTTAAGGGTCCGACAGAAGAATTGGTTAGCATTATGATTTTGCCTACTCCATATATAGGGTTTATGGTGTTCTCTTTCGTTTAGTGTTTGGTTTTTTTTACCGCGGACGGCGCTGAGTTATTTCTTTCTCGCTGCGATTCCCAATGATTGAAACATTGATTAGTACTTTTAGACGCACCTGAGGCATCCGATAACGAGGATCAGGATAACAAGGAAGATCTCGGCCAGTTTGGCATAGGTGATCAGCGCTCGCTGTGCGAGCCGTTCAGGGCCGTACACGGCAAAGATTGGCGAAGGACCAGCAACTCAGGTATAACTTTTTTATAAAAAATTCTGATGAGTAATGCAGTTGTAATCTTATTACTAAGTTATGATTCGTTGCAGGTTCTGCTACAGCTTCATCAACTGGGAGTTTTTGTGGGGGACGTTTCTCCCCGGAGATGTCATCTGTGCAGTCGCCGTCACAGTGAGTTTTATATATTTTTAAATACTATTTAAACATAAGATTCTTATTGTATTTCAGAGAGGGAAGAATAGTGGTCTAGTACCTTTTATCCCTTATGCGTTGTTCTTTTATGTATGCTAAAATTGGAAGTAATTTCCCTTATTCGTTTCTCGGTAGTGTTTTACGAGCACTTTACAAGCATTATTTCCGAGAATATTTACTGTTGATTTACAGTGCTCGTTTTGGTCGCGATTCCGAGCGTTTCCATCATATTGGGGGTGAGTTCGACGATCTAGACGACGGGAATTCTGAATCGGACGAGCAACCGGCAGAGCTTGTTCCACTCGGGATGCGTACGTTGAGTTTGTCTGGGAACAAAAGTCGCCGTCGTCACCAAAAGCCTCGCACCAATTTCAGCGGTTCGTATTTATTCGTTATTTTAATAGGATGGCTCTCTTTTAATTACCTTTCATAGGTTTTTTTAGAATTTTTACTGGTGTTCTTGGTCAGATATAAGTTTAGCCGTCGTTGGCTTTTATTTTTTCGTGCGGCTGTAAGTTGTGATTCCAAATTTACAGTTCCGTCATACAGAGTAGGAACGATAGTAACACCATATATTCATCTGAAACGAACTTCATTTATTGCAATTTGATAAGCTCTTTTAAATGGTTTCAGCCGACTTTTGGAAGGGGTTCTGAGCTGAGCAATCACAAATGAGAAATTTATATTCAAAATAACTTTTGAGTTCAGTTGTTTTGAATATCACAACCTGGAATAAATTGATAGTAGCTTAGGTTCTTTCCATCAGCAATTAGGTTTCTTTCATGGAAAAGTGAAAAAAGGTACTCGGGTTCTTCCGTAGTATTCTTATAACTTGGCTGGTTTGCATGTGCAGAAATAACTTTTGTTGCTGAGCTTATTGTAGATATATCAGAATCGTAGTCATGTTATAAAGCTAACACCTATGTTGCTTTTATTCTTTTAGAAGATTGTAGTCCGTATTTCCGAGTTTTCTAGTTACATTAGCTGTACTTCACTGCACTCGTTTGTAGCTGTAGGCAACTCTTGTTAACGTTAGGGTTAAATAGAAGTGCTGTCAATTTGTAAAATTTCTAAATTTTGAACGGTTGTGTTTAATGCAAGGTAACTTACAGAATTTTACAAATTGACCGATGAACATTTGGGTGCGGGTGCATATGCGAGTGTTCGAACGGGTATATCTCGTGCTTCTGGCGAGGAATTTGCCATCAAATTAGTGGACAAACATGAACCTGGTCACACAAGATCACGAATTTTGCGAGAAGTGGAGACATTTAATTTGTGTCGGGGACATCCTAACATTGTCCAACTTGAAGAGGTAGTAAATTGCAGCGGAAGTATGAATGAATTGTTTTTGGAAAGGCTATTGGAATTTGACCTCTTAACCATTACGGTCAATTATTTTCCGTTAATGAAGTGGTTTTCCAGTGGTTTGAAGACCATGACTATTTCTATCTTGTGTTCGAAAAAATGCGCGGTGGACCACTACTCAATCATATTCAGCAGAAAGGTTTTTTTACTGAGCAAGAGGCTAGCAAAGTGACGAGAGACATTGCTTCTGCTCTTAAATATCTCCACGATCAAGGTATGGTTTCATTTTGGTTGATGACTTTCGAATCCGTTTTCACTGAAGGATTTCTTAAATTATTAAACTGGGGCATATTTTATTTGTAGGTATTGCTCACCGAGACGTGAAGCCGGAAAATGTTCTTTGCTCAGATTTCGACAGAGTCAGTCCAGTGAAGTTATGTGATCTCGATTTAGCGAGCAAGGTATTTTTTATATAAATGCGGTCTCTTTTGGAGGCCAACCACCACGTTTAATTTCCTTATATTTTTTTTCAACGTGCTGCGAATCGTAGCGTATTTCAACTAATTATGTGCTTTAGGCTGTACCACCATCTCCACCGAAACTACCTTCTGTTAATAGCGAACCAGATTTGGCAAGTCCAGTAGGAAGTGCTGAATTCATGGCGCCAGAGGTGTCGCATTACTTTCTGTTTACATTTTATAATATTTGAATGATTATTTCGTGTCTGAAATGCTTATTCAAGTGTTTGCAGGTTGTGGATGCTTTTGTTGGTGATTCGTTAAAGTATGATAAAAGGTGCGATATGTGGTCGCTGGGTGTAATTGTCTATATCATGATTTGCGGGTATCCACCATTTTATGGACAGTGTTGGCGGGAAAACTGTGGTTGGGATCAGGGTGCGCTTATAACTATTTATTATGATGCTCTGTGTTATATCTTCTGAAGATTCTTCTGTAGTGTAGCATTGTTTAGGCCTCCCATGTAATGATTGTCAAGAATATCTATTCAAAAGAATCCAGCGTGGAGAGTTTGATTTCCCAGAACCAGAGTGGGAAAATGTAAGCAAAGAGTGCAAAGATCTGATCTGCCATTTATTGGTGAGGTTTTAATTAGTTAAAACACGAGTCGAGTTTTGGA